CTGCTGAATTCTGTGGTCGCAGCCATGCATCCAGGAACCATGTGGTGCTGGAGCACTGCAGCGGCGGGCAGGAAAGTGCACAAAACAGTGCTGGCAGGGTCTCAGAGCGGGTCGTCAGGAGCACGGGGTCCGGCACCAGCTGTGCTGGAGGGGTCCGGCGCTCCTGCTGCCTTGCCCTGGGCCCCTGCTGGTACTGGCCTCTGACACCAGCGTGGGCCCTGCGCTCCTGCTCACTGCCACTCCCCCCCCATCTGCCGTTGCTTTCACCTCTTCTCTGCCTCCTATCACTGTGCTCCAGCACCATGTGGTTTCTGGCTTCATTGCTGGACTGCAGAAGCATGGGGTCTACACCAGTACCCCGGGACCAGGAGCGGGAGGAGAGGGGTGTGTGCATGTGCACATCCATGTGATGAGGTTGGGGGCGGGGGGGGGGGGAGAGACAGAGAGCAATGAGGGAGGGTGGGTGTGTGTGTGTGTGTGTGTTCATAGGGTGAGTTCCACATGCACCCCCCCACCATACACATGTACCCACACACCCCCTCTCTCTGCCATTCACACAGACTCCCCCACACAGTCCTGCCACAAACCCCATACCTACCCACATCCCCACACCTATTCACCCCGCCACATCCTCCCCCACAGCCTGCCACAATGCTATACCTACCCCCCACAATATACAAGAGTAAGACTTCATTTTAAGCTATTTTACAATCACTTCTATATACACTACACAAATGCATGTAAATCAGGACAAAAATATTTTTTTTAAATCAAATTAATGAATGTTGTAGATGTTAGATTTTTAGAATATAATTTGGTATTTTTCTGGTTTCTGAGATGGCAAAATGCCTTGTTTAAAGGAGTACTTGTGGGGACAAGGGCAGGGACTTCTGGTGGTAAAGGTCAGGAGTTAGGGGGCAGGACTTTTGGTCACAAGATGGTGACCAGAAGGCGGGATATCTGTCAAGAGGTGGGGCTACGCATGCAGTCCTCGACAGCTTGCCAAAACTCGGTAAGCGGCCCTCTGCCTGAAATAATTGCCCACTCGTGCTTTAGACTGTTTAAGTCCTCTTAAGTGGTAACTATCTGGTCTGATAACCTGTAATAGTTTTGAATACAGGGTGGAGAGTTAGAAGGCTTGAACTCTGATGTTGAGCTCTCTAGTCCCCCTTATCTTTGTCTCTTTCTGGGCCTAGAGGGAAAAGGCTTTAATAAAAAGGCATTTACCATGTATACCTAGTGTAGATGGGATTTAGCACCTTTAGCAATACTTTTACAAAGTGTTCCAAAAGAAGTAGCAAAGAATAACTCCTGTATCAGGTTGGCTGTGCACTGTTAAATGATGAAGTTAAATGAGGATAACTTTCTAGCCACATGTGCACATTTCTTTTTTTTCCTTTTTACCGATCTGAAAAATAATTAATGGATCTTGGCAGCCTAGATAATGTAAGTTTTTGACATGTTTTCAGCATAATGCTGACCATGAAGATCTGCATAACTCATTATGTTTAAAAAAATGACCATGTCTGCAGATGCCCCCCTTTTAGTTCATATCTGTGCTTTTGCTTTGCAGAAGTCCCATGAACGTGGGGTTGAGAATAGTTTCTGGAAAGGTAACCTAAGAAAACTTCCCACCTAGGTAGGGGAAGCCTGTTTCCTTTTCTAGTCTTTTCAAATCTTGCACTAATGAGCACTGAAGAGACAGGGAGGCAGAACAAAGAAGAATTGGAGAGTATCAAGAGGCCATCTAGTTTGCTACCTTCATAGACAGAAGTTCATGCAGAAAGGAGGCTCTTAGTTATCTTATTAGAAGTGAGCTTTCCAAAGCTGGATACATTTCAGTATTTGTTACTACCCTGCATCACTTAACCAGTTTTGAGGGGCATATAAGAAGAACTAATTTAATTTACCATTACCACAGACATGCCTTGAAGATATATTGTCTGTTGTTTCTCAGGAAGATCACTCTATGTAGCAGGTAAAATACTATCTCTTGAAGAAAATTTAGACTTTTCAGATGCATTCCACCATGCTGAAAGCTGGGTGCTTAGAGGGGTTGAAATGCTAGATGCAGCAGCCAAAACATTGAGGATTAAAGCATACTGCTGCTTGCCTCTCAAATCCCAAAGCAATTAAGAGATGGAAGAATCATGAACCATTGTGCTTCATGAAAATGGCATCTCTCCAAATAACTGGGGCGAAAAGATGGGATGCATTGTGTTCCTATGAGATTAACAAACCTATTTCCTTTTAAATTGAGGGAAAAGGATCAAATTGTAAAACAGAACCCTGTAGGAAATAACTGGCTAACAGCCCCTTCTTTAAATTTAGGGTATTCTGGCTCAAGGATTTGATAGCAACTGCAGTACTGTTACAGGGGAGGAGAGTAGTCCCTTCAGATAAATGAATCTTAGACTAGTGGTTCTCAATATTTTTAGATTAGAGGCACCCCTCCAGAACTTCATAAATTGAGCAGTACCTCATTAAAAAAATAATTCTATTTATTGTTATATAAAAAAATAAATCGCTGTTTTAGACCATTAAGGGCAAGTAGGCTGGTTATTGTTCAGTTGTTAACATCAGTGTCATGTAAAGGGTGAACTGAAGCAAACTTCTTGAAGGGGAAGTCAGGGATCTTTCAAAATAGGTGTCAAAGGAAGTAGGAAGTTCTGATGATAGTACCTAGTGTGGTCTTCACCTGTTTATGTCTGGGTCTTACCTGGGTCTAGGTGCATATTTAATCTGTACTGCGCTTAGTTTCATGGGTGCTGAGTACGTGGGGGCCTGAGGGCCCTGGACCCCTCAGGAAGAGTGCCGTCACCAGAAATGTATAAAGCTTTCCACATGTCCGTCATCTTGCCCCCCAACCCCCCACCCAACAAAAATTAAAAGTTGGTGCCTATGCTTAGTTTACCTGCTGCATGTTGAAGAGTTTTTTGTGATCATTCATGTAGTCAGTAACACTATCTTTATTTGTTGTGATTAAATTATAATTTGAGTGGTTGCAAAAATGTAAATGCTTATTTACCAATGTCAAGTGTTCACAGCTGGGTGTTGTATAGGCATGCAGCTGCAGCCCTGGGAAAATGTTGCTGTCACAGAACTATTAAAGTCTGCAGATGTTAATAGTAAACCAGTAGTTGCATCTTACATTTTACCACTTGTGGATTATTGTATACGTACTACATACACAATATATTTGATTTAAAAATACTGTGGATATTTGTGTTTGATCCATTGAATCTCATAAAATTATTGTGTTTTGTATTACATACATGGAATAGGTGTTGCCAGCAGCTCCAATTTAAGTTGCATCTTTTTGGGGAATGTTTCAATGTATTGACTTCCCATTTGGTATTCATTTTAACAGAGTTAAAGCAGGGTAGTGAGGAGGGGATACGTTCTAAAATAGAATTTCCCAGTGATGTGACTCAGACTTCAGGCAACTTGTAGCAAACTGTCCAAATTTGAGGATTTGGGGGCAGGGGGCTGGACTTGATGATTTTCCAAGGTCCCTTCCAGCCCTAATGTCTATGAAATCTATGAATTAGCTGTTAGAAAACCACATTGAGTATGGATGTTTGAAATTTTTCCATGTATTACATTTTAAGAAATTGGTACCTTTCAGAAGTTTGAAGTCTTATCCAAAGGATTTTTTTGCTCAGCCTTCTCCCTAGCAATATTGTGGTCAAATAGCTGAAGTTCACTTTATAACCTTTACCTACATGAAGTTCTATTCACGTTCACAGTTAGTTAATTAATTGATAGCACCAAACATGACATAATAGAGGTACACCTGATTTAGCTCTTGAGAAAACCTGTCAGATGACATACAAATAGAAACAGTTTCTGGAATAAGTAGAGTCCGTAAAGTAACAATTATCATCAACTTTTTCCTGGGAACTGCTGAATTGTACACTGGTGCTATTTTGTCTTGAGCACACAAGAGTTCAACAGAATATTTAGAAAATATACAGGTTATTATGATGGCTTACTGTCTCTTTTGTTCTTTGACAGGAGTGCACCAGATGTTGTTGTTGACAGTGTTTATAACACCTCTTCATGATATCTACTCTGATTTCTCCAAGTTTCAGGAAATGATAGAAACAACTTTAGACATGAGTAAGGTATGGAACAGCTTATTGACTTAATGTGAAATTTCATGTTGAACTGTAGTGATCTGATCCAATTTGAATAAGAAACTTAATATTTGAGCCATATATAAAAACAAACAAACCCAGACTTTTTGTTACAACAAAACACTAGCATGTCAGGGTAGTCTCCTGGGCATAGGTAGAATCTTATTTGAATTGGGGATCTGGGAGGAAAGTAAATTTAGATGAATTATCTAGGTAGAAAACAGGCATTCCTAATTATTAGTTTTAAATTTTAAATACTAGGTGGTTTTCACAGGGGACCTTGAAAAGGATGGGAACTAGGTTCAGTACCTAAGTGTAGTTTTTAAATTAGCTTACAAGAATAGTTCAATTCAGGTTCACTTACCATCCTTTCTTGTAAAGACATTAGAGCAGCTGTTGAGTCCCTCAAATTGCTCTGTAGCATAACTTGCTGCAGTTTTTTAAAGTGTACGTAAATATTTTGCACAAGTACTTATTTTTCTCATCAAATGTTTTGTGCAACAACCCATCTTGACCTTGGAGCGGTCATGTCCTCTGAAGTATTCTGTAGTTTTGCCCAGCTGATAAGGATTCACTGCATTGTGAAGCTTTGAAAACCTTAAATTCATAGGCAGGTGACTTTTCATTTCAAAGTCAGAATAGAGGATGTGGCAAGAATTGTTTGGTGGTGGTTGTATTGACTTTTCCCAATTGAAACATTTGAATTATATCTTTCTCTTCCTAAATTAAACACAGATTTATAAAGAGCTCTTGGGGAGCCAGCAGCAAACTGAGCTGTAGAAATGGAATGCAGAAGTTTTAAGTAAAAGCACTTTATTTTATGCACATGAATGTACTTGCATTAAGAGCTAAAGCTCTATAGCATTGGTTCTCCAACTTGAGCAGTAGCAAATGAATGCAACATTTATTTTAAAAAATGAGAGAGGAATTTTAAAATCTCATTTAAAAATGTGCTCCTACTGCATTCACATAGTTGAGGATCTTTCCAAGGATAACTTCTCCAAAATAGCACATCGCTCAGTGTAACTCAGGTGACAGTGACCATGACATGATAAAATTCAAGATCCTAAGAGGAGGAAGCAAGGAGAGCAGCAGAATAAGGACACTTCAGAAAAAGAGAATTTAACAACCTTAGGCAACTGGTGAGCAAGATCACCTAGGATGCAATTGTGAGGGGAAAAGGAGGCCCTCTTAAGGGTGCAGGAAGAAGCTATCTCAATGCAACAGAAGGATGAGAAGTGCAACAGAAGTCCAGTCTGACTAGACAGGAATCTCATCGATAATCTCATGGTGGGGCATGGTTTCCACCATTGCTTGCACCCCAGGAGGGGGGGTGTGTGTGTGTGTGTGTGTGTGTGTGTGTGCACGCGTGCCCCCTGGATCTGTGCAGGTGGGTGGGCTGCATCCGGCACTGCGTGGCTCTTTTTGGTGG